CAGAGCCCGACGCGGGGCTCGAACTCACGGACCGCGAGATCGTGACCTGGCTGAAGTCGGACGCTTAACCGACTGCGCCACCCAGGCGCCCCCCTCCAATGTATTTATTGAAATAATCTGGTTATTTGTCCCACAGTCTTTCCTTGTCTGGATTTTGTTAATTGCATCCCCAAAGCATAATTTAATATGTTCCACCATTCCTTATATTTCCTTTAAACCAGCAATTAAATCTAGATCAGATTTCAGTTTAGATGTTTTGGTAAGAGTACTTACTTGAGAAGCAGTGATGGTGTAGTTTGTATCACATCAGGAAACACATCCCATGTCATTGTTTCTCTTTTGTGAGGTTAATACTGATCGTTGGGTTCAGATGTTAGCCCCGTCCATTATGAAGTTCGCCATCAGTGTTTCACCAGTCTTAGCAGTCACTGATGATCATTGCTAGATCCAACATTTCATCCAGGGTTGTACAGTGGTCATATTCTACATTGTTTTTTCGTCTGCGTTACTAGCAATTCTTCTATTAAAAAAACTTCTCGTCAATGACTTTGTTACTTTGAGGTACAGTTCATACTGGAATAGATAAATGCTTGATTTTATTCCTTTCACTAATCAGTTTTCAAACCAATGAAACATCCTCCAAAGGTGAAGACTGAATTCTTTTGTTGTTTTAGTTTGGTCGTTGTTGTGAAAATGTAATATTCCAGGTCTTTTAAGAGAGGTAGTTTTACTTCCAATCACAGCATCAATACATTTCATACTGTACTTGACTGCTCAGGACTTTATCAATGAGCAGGTATGTATGTGCACCTGTTATACGCAAGGCATCATGCTTGACTTGGAGAGCAGGGGGTGGTAGGTGTCCAGGGGTTTCTCTTTCCCAGGTCTCCTCTTTCAGAACCTCCAACTTCCTGCCATGCAGTGGCCCAGTCTTCCATCCTGGCTGCCAGCAGTCCTGGGACTCCTGGCTCAGGTCCCCTTTGTGGCACAGTGTTAGCCTACTATTGGGTTTGCATGAGCTCACACTCCTGGGCTCTGTCCCACTAAAGGGCTGTTATGGGTGCTCAGGCAGGGTGTCCAGCACCAAAGCCTTTGGTGTAGAGCCTTGAGATATTCCTCACCCTCATTGCTGTCTCCTCTGGGATGGGCCTGGCAGGATATGGTTTCTTATGCCAGTGCTGCAACTCGGTGAGGGCTGATCACAGATTTGCTTTTTTCCTGCCTGGCTCCTGCTTTCTCTTGCTTTAGTTATTTTCATTTGTTTAGTCAGTATTTGCCAAGCAACTACTATGTGCCTAGGCCTGTTCTAGGTGCTGAGGATACAATGAGAGCAAAACCAGCTATAGTGCTTTCCCTCAGCAAGGCATTCATCAACTAATTACACAAATGGATGTAATAGGGCAAATGTGGAATGAATTTATTTATAAAAATGCAGTTATACTTGAGAAGGATTCCAATGTGTTACTAATGAGTTCGTGTGCATTCTCTGTCCCTAGGGAGCCTTGAGGTGTGCCCAAGCCCACGCATCATCCCCCCCTCCCCAACCTGTGCAGAGAAGGAGCTACCCTGGAAGAGTGGTCAGGGAGATCTGGCAGTCTACGTGTCCTCGGAAACCACCAAGATTGTGCCTGTGGACATGCAGACAGGCTGGAACCAAAGCATCTCATCCCTGGAGAGCCTGGCATCCCCACCCTGTACCCAAGCCCCAACTGTGACCCGCTTGCCTCCTTGCCCACTGGCTGCTGAAGAGCCTCAGCACCCTTTCAACCTGCCGTATGATCCACGCCCTAGCTTCGCCTTTCCCCCAAGCCTGGCCAAAGCTGGCCGCTCTCGCAGTGAAAGCAGCGCTGACATCCCCCAGCAGCAGGAGCTACAGCCCCTCATGGGATATGAGGACCGCACCCATCTTAGTCCAGGCACAGCCAACTCCCACTGGTGCATCCAGTTCAACAAAGGTAGCCGGCTGTAGCCCAAGACTCAAGGAGTCAAGGAGGAGTAGGAGGCTGGATCCCCCATGGGAAGTCTTCCCTGGGCAATAGGCAGAGGCAGAGGAGCCCACTTAGCCTGACAGGGGGCCAGAGGAGCCTGAACTAGCAACTGGGCTTTCTTGTGGCAGGTCAGAAGGGTGTTGAGCTGGTCCTCACAGCGACACTTTCACTACCCTCCCTGCTCCTAATTCCTGCCATCTTCCCTTTCACTAAGGCCCTTACCCTGGCTAAAGACCCAGTCCAGAGCTTCTAGGAGCTAGGCCCACCCAGTTGGGAAGCTGATGCTCTTTCCCCAGTGGACCCCCCGGGAGTCACTCTAGGCAGCTGTTCCTGCCCCCAAAGCAAGGTATCATTCCACAGCTAATGCTGGCCTTTCCTGCCCTTCACTCACCCCAGCACCAGCTCAAGGACAGTACCCTGGCAATGAGGCTCCTTGAGGGGCTGGTCCTCAGAGGCACTGGGGTGGGAGGTGGAGCAGGTCTCAACCTTAGGCTTTGTTACCTGTTGGGTCAGCTACCTATAGCCAATTTTTGAGGGGCAGTGGGAATCTGTGTCCACTTCTTGCTTTATCTCCTACACTTTGCTGACATTTATTGGGGCCATAGTTCTTTCTTTTACAGGATCAAGGCCACAGGGCTGGGCCTGGCTTCAGATCAGGGCTGTTTCTTGGCAGGGGTCATTCTGAAGATATGCTGCTCTGCATCCAAGTCTGGAACTTTCAGATCTCTGGGTCTATATTTTCTAAGGAGGGGAGATAGTGGCCTCTGGGACACTACCACCTTGACATTCCCCAAATAGGAAAGAAGCCAGGTATTCCAGGGCCACCACTCCACTTCTCTGGGAGCTGGGATGCCTGGCTGAAGTAATAAGGGGGCTGACTGGGTGGCAGGTAACTTTCCTGGGGTTAATACCTGCTTTGTGTCTTGTATCTTGAACCTGAGACACATTAAATATCTCTCAGATGGATGGGTGTCCTGTGTCCATGGGGGGGTGGCTCTAGGGGTGGGGGTGGGAGCAACTGGGGTATCTAGTGAGGGAAGCAGAAACTTGCAACTGCCTGCCTTGGGGCTTTTAGGATAGAGAATGGAGGGAGATCCTGGGAAGGACTGTTAGGCGTGCTGGCCCTCTTCCCTTCTCCTTCCTCCCTTCCCAATATGGTCCCCTGAGCAGGGGGCCTGCAGTAGTAGTCCAGGGATCACTGTATGGGCACAGGGTCACAGAAAATGGGGAGACCAGCAGGGAAAGAGACCCCAGAAGATAGATCCCCAGGTACCCAAAGATGCAGCCACTACATACTGGGACCAGATAAGCCTTCCTTGAAAACCTGGAGGCAGGTGTAGGACAAATAAACAGAAATACTCTGCACATGGCAGATGGGAGGCCAATATCCAGGGAGCTGGTTACCCTATAAGTTTACACTACAAATTAGGTAGTGTGGGGTCCAAAAACATCTAGGAACAGAAAGGAGACCCTTAGGTAATAGCAGTCCCAAATTTAATTTCCACTGTGTCTGAAGAACTTTTAAGAAAACATCCGACTTTATTGAGATATGACATATGCTATATATATAAAACATATAGTTATATAACATATAGTATATAATATACCATAAAACTTACCCATTTAAAATATACAGATTGGTGGTTTTTAATATATTTATGAGTTGTGCAACCCTCATCACAATCTAAGTTTGGAACATTTTAATTATCCCCAGAAAACCCTGTGCCTATTGGCAGCCACTCCTCATCCCCTACTGCCCCGCCCTAGGTAATCACTAACCTACTTTCTATTTCTATACATCTGAAGGACTCTGGATGCTGTGAAGGTTACATATTTAGTCAACAAGCATTTACTTTTTCTGTGTTATGAATGGGAAAATGGGAGGAGGAGTGACTTGAGCTTTGCCCTCACATTATTTATACTTGGCAGTGATAGGGCCTGGTAGTTAAACAGTCCACTTGACAGTTATGTCAGCTTAGGCATGCTACATATACTCTGTGAGCCTCAGTGTCCTCATCTTTAAGACAGAATAACAGTTATTTTATAAGTTTGCTGTCAGGATGAAATGACAAAATAAGAATCTAGTACACAGCATGGCCCACAGTAAGGGATCATAAATGTTTGCCATTACAGTTCTTTTTTTTAAAGTTTATTTTGAGAGAACATGCTCAGGAGGGGCAGAGAGAAAGGGAGAGAGAATCTCAAGCAGGCTCTATGCTGCCAGCACAGAGCCCAATGCAAAGCTCCATCTCACAAACCATGAGATCATGACCTGAGCTGAAATCAGCCAATAGCCACCCAGGTACCCCAAGAAGTATTTTGAGCCACCTGGGCACCCCATGCCACTACAGGTCTTATATCGCAAGGCAAGGAGCAAGGAAAGTGCTGTGGGGCCCTGAGGAGATTTGGGAAGGCTTTGGGAGGAGCTAGTGTGGGTGAGAATGTGTGTAGGGATTCAGACAGTATAGGCAAAGCTGGGTGGGTGCATTCCAGGTAGAACAGCATAAACAAAGGACGCCCAGAGCACACATGGCAAAAAGCTAGGAGCAGTGGGTGTTGTACTCTGGAGAGACCAGCCAGGGACACAAAGGCTTGAGGGGTGACACTGCTGAATTTCAGAGGTGGCAGAAAGTTGGTCTGGGAGAATTGTGATCTGGAGTGTGGTGTGGGCAGTAATGTGCTTTTTGGGAGCTCAAACGCAATTGGTGTCAGATGGAATGAATGAAACCCCAGGTAGAGGATGGACTGGTAGGAAAGAAGGCTGGGGATGGGAGGCCTGTATCTGTTCAAGCAGCCTGGGGACATGAAGACGCTGGAGAGGGCAGGCAGCCATTCTCAGACTTTAGAATCACAATCACTGAGAATCTGTCAAACATGCAGATTCCTGGGCCTGCCCTAAGGTTCTGACTCAGCAAGGCTACGCAGACCCAGAAATCTGTAATCTTTTTTTTTTTAAGTTTATTTATTTTGAGAGCATACATGCAGAAGCGGGGGAGGGACAGAGAGAGAGGGAGACAGATTCCCAAGCAGGATCTGCACCATCAGCACAGAGCCCAATGCAGGGCTTGAACCTACAAACTGTGAGGTCATGACCTGAGCTGAAATTAAGAGTTGGATGCTCAACTGACTGAGCCACCCAGGTACCCCTCAGAAATCTGTAATCTTAATCAGCTCCCTTCAAGGGAGACAACAGAGACCACATCCTTTGAGAATTTCTAGATTAGAAACGTAGTAGAAGTCAAATTCACACAATCACACTACCAAAGGTGTAGGTGAGAGGGTACAGGCAGCTCCTGGCTTGGTTCTGGGTAACTAAGGATGGTGGGACAGCCAGGAAGACAGAGTTAGTCAGAGATAGAGGGGGAGGAAGCAGGTGAACACAGCCAGGGAGAGGCAGGCACCTGGGATGTAGGAGAGTGAGCAAGTCAGGGGCTTGTCTGCGGTTCACCACCTAACTGGGCAAGATGGCAGACATGGCCTTCAGGGCACCCTGAGCTGCATCCAGACCTTGAAGGAAGAAGGATTTTGACTAGGGGAGATGGGCATGGGCTTTCCAGGTAGAGGAAACAGACAAGATTTGTGATCAGATGAGTTTTTCAGGCCAGTATGGAGTTTGGAGTTTATTTTGGCCCAAAGTGAGAGAGATCTGGAAGGTTTGGGGATATTGTCACCCTTGCTATCTAGGGCAGTACTTAAGAGAGTGTGCAAGTTTTGGGATGGAGTGAGTGCAATGACTTTGGGTCTCTTATCACTAGGCCCATAGCCCCTCTCCTGTTTTTGATTGATTCATGTTGGCAAAGAATGGGAGGCTGAGGGAAGGCTAGGGAAGGGGCAAGAGAGGGAGGTCCAACCCTATTTTATGATCTCAGTGGAAAAAGCTGTTGTGAGTAGTTTTTGTTGCCAGCAGAGCCACAGAGATGGGCCCCATGAGTCACTGCTCAGTCCTGCAAACTCAGCCCATACAGCCTCCTGTGGTCAGCAGCCTGGGCTTGTTCCAGGTCCAGCCCCCAGTGTTCCCCTCTGGGCCTCAGTATGTCCCCATTTCTATCTATATCTTTGCCATCCTAGGACTGTGCATCCTGCAGCTCTTTGCCTTTTCTGTTTCCTTTTCAGACTGAGCCTCTGAATCTATTTGTGACTCTGGTTTACATCTGGCTCAAGGATAGGGAGCCTCATGGGGACAGGAGTAACGTGACCACTCTCAGGCGCCCCTAAGCATTTGTTCTATGCCAGGCCATATGTTAAGTGCTGGAAGTACAGAAGTGACAACACTGTTTTGATGTAGCTACAATGCACATTGTATTGTGGAGTGAATAAACTAAGGCCTGACCCTGACCCTCAATCTGTCTGCCTGTGCCCAGCAGTGCTGGGGTCAGCTATGGCCTGTGGCTTGGGGACTCTTACCTGCTTCTGGTATTGAAGGGGTATGTGTGCCTGCCAGCAGGTCTCCCCAGCTCTTAGGGCTCTTAGGAGGCCTGGCTGGTGGCTGGAGGTGGGCAGACAGTGGGCAACAGAAGGAGAGGGAGGGAGCAGGAGGCAATGACTCAATGGGGCGGCCCTGGGACAGTTGGGGAGGGAGCCAAGGTTGGTCCTGATGCTCACTAAAGCTCTAGGAGGGTGGGACCAGAGGACCCGGCTGGGAGCTGGGGATGGAGCAGGACAATTCCAAAGCTCCTCTGGCAGCCAGATCAGCTCATGAAGAAGGCTCCTAGGAACGTGGTCTGAGAATCTGGACTTTGGGGACTGATGTGGCAGCTAGGATGGGGCGGGCAGGATGCTGTTCCCACTGTGCCTGCTTCTGACACTCTGGTTTGCTCCTCCGGCAACTTCCAGGCTCATGCTTTAGAGCCAAGGAAGTCATTGTACCCACTGCCCCCTCCCCTCCCAGGAACCAAGGGCTGTTGTGGGCACAGTGTGTTCTTCTGGCCACACAGCCTACCTTCTTACAATCTTCCCACAAATTTTGGGGAGTGTCAGGCCAGGCACACATGCCCTAAAGGGACCTCATACCTCTGAGCTGGGAGGGATCTCACAGGTCAAGTCTCCAGGTAACTTTCACCAGTTCAGGATCCCCTGACTGAGGGTGAAATGATGGGGAGGGCATGACTATAGCCCAAATGCTGGCAGCGAGTGGACATTGACATATGGGAGGGTCTTTCCGAGTCCTGTGGCAACCCCAGGGGGAAAAAAAGGAATGACTTTCTTTTTTTACAGGCAAGTAAGGCTTAAAGAGAACTGAGTTGCTGGAGCTCACCCAAAAGGTAAGTGCAAGAGCAGGCCTGGGTTAGTATCTCTGGCTCCAGGACCCTGACCCCAGTCCCAGCCTCCTTGGCTGGACTTTGTGGGGAGGGGGTGTAGGTGAAAGTGACAGGAATGCACCAGAGTGGAGGGTCTGGGCCTGGTGGATTCTCGCAGGCCTGGGTAGTTCCTACCCCAGAGGCCTCCCTGCCCCCATCCTCCCTCCAGCCCAGACAGCAGTCCCCCATCTGGTCTTGGGATCATACAAACCTGTGTCTTGGGGCCTGGGCCTGGGCAGAAGATTGAGGACTGCAAAGGAGGGGCCCTTTCCTCCTACCCTCCATGAAGATACCCCTACTGGTTCCCAGCAGCCCCAAGCTGCTGGTTTGGGCTTAGGAAGTTTCTCTTTCCAGGGGACTCCTGGGATCTTGGGCCCACACTTTTCTTCTCGTGAGTTGTGAATGCTCCCAGTTTTGCTGACAGAGGTAATCCCCCCCCCCCCCCCCCTCACCATACTGCCTCAGGCAGAGCCCAAGAGGCAGATTCCCCCCCCACTCCCCCAAAAAAAAAAACCTTTTCCCCTCGGCTCACCCCTGCCCAGGCACTCACTCATGCACCCTCCGGCATTTGACCATTCTCTTTTTCTCGGCTGGAGCATCGCTTGGCTTCTCCAGCAGTCCGGAGAGTGGGCACCTTGGAACGGCTGGCTGTCACACTGTTCTCACTGGCCGGAGCAGGAGAAGTCGAGTCAAGTAAGCTGGCCCCAAGGTGGGAGTGGAGCCGTCGGCCTGGCCCGGAGGGTGGGAGGAGGCGGCGAAGGGATGGGACGCTAAGTAGGGGCCGGGCGGCGGGCGCCTCTGGGCAGCTTAATTGAGTCGGGGCAGCTGCTGTCGGCCTGGGTGGAGGCCTGTCCTCCCGTCCCCCAGGGGGCGACGCGCAGCCTTCCCGTGTCGCCCCGCGTCTTCCTTCCGCGGGTCAGGAGAGCAGGCCAGGATCGCCGGGCGTCCAACCACGGCGGTGTGGAAGGTCTGAGGCCTGACGTGCGCGCTACCGGCTGTCACGTTCACCGTGGCGTGGGGGTGTGGAGGGCTAAAGACAGGCAGGGATGCGGGGGGGTGCGCGAGTGTTGCTACAGGTAGGGCTCGGTTGGGCGAAGGCCAGCAGGAGGTACTCGCCGCCATCACGCCTGAGCGCGTTACGCGAGGTGGCCGTCAAGCGTGGTGGTGAGAGTCCAGCTGTGTGGGCGGAGCCCTTGGCTGAGGCTGATGTGAGGAAACGCGCACTAGACTGGCCAGCGGACAGATCCTGTCATTCTCGTGCCTCAGGCCTGAACTTGTATCCGCATTAGCGGCCTTACTCTACCGGCAGACTGGCCCCTCCTCATGGCTCTAGTGCCTCATCTGTCACCAATCCCAGAGCCCCTACAACATCTTCAATCCATTTCACTGCAGATCCGAGCAGAACCTCACAGTGTGGGCCCAGCCCCTCCCCACTTGTCCTGAGCAGCTACTCTAAGGGAGAGGGTGATGGAAGGGCCCAATTGAGTTTGGGTACGCCCAGTTCAGGATCTAAGGTGAGAAACGAGGTTTGACTGTTGCGTTTCCCTCAGGGCCTGGGGAACTGTCTCCCAGCGGGAGTTACGGAGGACCCCTAATCCTCCAAGATCACCAGCAGCAGCTCGGTGGGCTGGCAGTCATGTGCTGGGGACTCAGTTCACCCCAGGGACGATGCACAGGGAGGCGGCGAGGGAAGGTCAGGGGAGACACGTTAGGGAGGCGTTCCTCAGTTCAGTAGAGTGCGGAACCCACCCCATCTAGGGATGGAGCCTCCCATGTCCATGTCACCCCACCCCTCCGTGCCTGAGCTGGGGCAGAAGAGTGATAGTGGGGAGCGGCATTTCAAGGCAAGTCTCCAGGCAGTAGTGCGCAGCGGCTTGGGTCCTGAGGGGTGGACAGCGCTCCTGTGGACCTTGGAGGCCCTTTATCTGAGACATCTTCAGAACTACTGGAGCGTAGGTAAGGGGAGGCTGGGCCAAGGAAGTCAGGGGTTCCAAAGCGGTGCAAGACTGGGAGGGTCTGACCCACTCGGGCGCCAGTCTGAGAGGGTCTTCTCGTGCAGTGCCCAATGCACCCAAGCCATTTCTTCCCCAAGACCCCAGTGGATCTTACCTCCTCAAGCACTTATTTCTCCTGGGCCAAGACTCTCCTGGGAGCTCAGCTGGCCAGTGGCATGTACCATACGAGTTGGGAGGGCTGGGAGTGGAAGTGGGTGACTTGATTGGCAGGTAATCACTGTGCTCCCCACAGGGACTGGGATTGAAGGCGGGCAGGCTGTTTTTGCATAGCCCAGCCTGGTCTCACCCTAAGTGCAATAGCGCTACTTCCTATCCTGGCCCTGCCTCACCTGCAAACGTCCGTTATGAGAGGAGGTTGGGGGAGTGGAGCCAGGGGAGGTGGCAGGTTGGGAATGGTGATGCTTAGCGAAGGGAGTCTCCTCTTTTGGCCTCGAAGGTACAGGCCCTGATTGACCGTTGAGTGGATGCCCTGAATCACGTTTCTCTTCTGGGGCTCTAGCCACACAAAGTAGTACGGGTCATATATCTTCCCGCCTTCAGCCATTCTCTCTTTGGCCAATAGGGTTGGGGAGGGGCTTGGTATTAGGTCGACAAGCTTGCCTGATCACTCTCAGCCAGGTCAACATCATCTCTGTCCACAGTAGTTCGGAGTCTCCCTGCCAGTCAGGCATTTGGCTGATGGCTCAGAGCCTGGAGCCTGTTTCTGATTCTGTGTCTCCCTCTCTCTCTGCCCCTCCTGTCTCTCTCTGTTCCAAAAATAAATAAATGTTGAAAAAAAAAATAAATAAATAGGGTTGGGGACATGGCTAAACTCAAATTCCTTGCAGGAAGCAGCCCCAGGGTCAGTATACCAGGTGCTGCTGGTGGGAAAGATGCCAGAGGAGGTTCCTCCCAGGCTGCAGGTACTGAGCCATTTTGGCTAGGGGTGGAGGTGGGATGCTTTCCCACCAGGCAGGAGCCATTACACCGTCTTTTCTTGCAGCTGCAGCAGCTGCCCTCTCATCAGAGCCTGCTGACCTACATCTCCACTTCTCGGTTGCCAGCTTCAATGGGAGGAGGCCTGCCTTACTGCCACCAGACCTGGCTGGACTTCCGGATGGTCAGTGCAGTGGGTCAGGGCATAGGGTGGGTGGCAGGCAACCTGGCCAGCAGAGGAGTCTCTCCTGGGTTGGTTTGAGCAGTGCAAAGCTGGCTGCAGTGGCCTGGGATCCAGGATGCCTGGGACCAGCACTGCACTACTCTGGTCATGCCTACCCTTGTTCACAGCGTCTGGAAGCCCTACTGCAAAGCTTCCAGGTGGTTTGTGCCTTGCTCCAGGAGGCCATTGAGAGCATGAAGGCTGTGCCCCAGCCCATGGAGTCTGGGGTGAGTATCCCCTCAACACCTCTCCAGATGCTCCCTATCTTCCTCCTTTTCTCCGATGTTCACCTCCACTGACTGTTGCCCTTAATCATAGGAAGTTGGTCGGCTGCTCCAGCAGACACAAGTCCTGATGCAGCACGTGCTAGACTCGCCCTGGCTAGCATGGCTACAGTTCCAGGGGGGGTTGGAGCTGGCATGGTTGAAGCAAGAGGTCCCAGAGGTGACCCTGAGCCCAGACTACAGGTAGACGCAAACTCAAATCCCCGCTCTTGCCCCAGCCCACCATATTTCATGCCAAGGACTCAGCTGGCTGGCTCAGAACGAGCCAGGATTGTGGTCCCAGGACAGGGTGGAGTGAAACAAGGTATCTAATAGGAGTTGTAAGACCATGTACCCTGTCCCAGGCCAGCAGTGGATGAAGTTGATGAGCTCTATGGCCATGTAGATGGACTGCTGCACCAACTGACCCTGCAGAGCAACCGGCGAGTACAGGCACTAGAGTTGGTCCAGACTCTGGAGGCCCAGGAGGGCAGGCTGCACCAGGTGGGAACTATCTGCTCAGATGGGCCCTGCCTCTGATCTCAAGCATGACCTTCACCCCACAGCAGCATTCTTTTCCCTGTTTGTGCCCCTCCAGATTGAAGTATGGCTACAGCAGGTGGGCTGGCCAGCACTTGAGGAGCTAAGGGAGCCCTCACTGGACATGCTGCTCCAGGCCCAAGGCCCTTTTCAGGAGCTGGACCAGGTTGCTCAGGTGAGTTTGGTTACTTGTTTATTCCCTAGGTATTGGGTCAGTTTGCTAGGGACTAGGAATGCAGGATGGGTGGGAGCAAATCTATCCATTTCTCTCTTGGAATTTACAATCCAGCAGACATCAGTTGTAGTCAAAGGTTCAGAGCCATGTATGTGTGATTGCAAACTGAGGCAAAAGCTTCGGAAAGAACGTAGGTGGTTCTGAGTTTATTACAAAAGACCTGAGGGGCGCCTGGGTGGCTCAGTCGGTTAAGCGTCCGACTTCGGCTCAGGTCATGATCTCACAGTCCGTGAGTTCGAGCCCCACGTCGGGCTCTGCTGACAGCTCAGAGCCTGGTGCCTACATCGGATTCTATGTCTTCCTCTCTCTCTGACCCTCCCCCGTTCATGGTCTGTCTCCTTCTGTCTCAAAAATAAACGTAAAAAAAAAATTAAAAAAAAAAAAAAGACCTGACACAGAAGGGGTGTTGGTCTAGCTTTCTTGAGATACTGACTTTTGAGATGAGAGCTGAAGAATAGGTTAACCAGGAGAAAGAGGGATTGGGTTGAGAGACATTCCCAGCTGAGGGAACAAAGAGCATGTGCAAAGGTTCTGTGGTAGGAAGGAGCACGGCTTGCCTGAGGAGTCATAAGAAGGATAGTGAGGTTGAAATGCAGGGCAGTAGAAGGAGAGAGAGTGAAATAAGATGAGGTAAAATGAAGCTGGAAAAACAGTGGCCAGATTGCTGGGTCCCGTAGCAGTATAAAATTTAAGTGGAAAAGTCACAATCACATGCATGTTCTACGAACATTATCTTAGTTTTTGGTTAGACAGTGATTTGAAGGACTGACATGTAGAGTCCACAGAGGCATTTTAATGGCCCAGTGGGAATGATGCTTTCTCTAGCCAGATGGTGGCAGAGGAGACTGATTTTAGAAATTGCCGGGATTTGCTATGTGGGGTAAGTAGGAGAGGGAAGAGGTGCCTGGGTGGCACAGTTTGTTGAGCGTCTGACTCTTGATTTTGGCTCAGGTCGTGATCCTAGAATCCCTGCTGGGGATTCTCTCTCTCTCTCTCTCTCTCTCCCTTCACCCCCCTCCCATGCTTGCACATGTGTGCTGTCTCTTTCTCAAATAAAATTAAAAAGCAAAAAAAGAAGGAGAGGGAGGTTGTAGGGGTGAGTGGACGTCTCTTCTGAGAGAGCAACCAGGAGACAAGGGCCTTCTGAGGCAAGGGGATTCATCAGTCCAGTCTTGGGTGTGCTCTGGAGATGACCATAAGGGACTGAGACCCATGGGGATTGGCCTGGAACTCAGAAGAAAGACCTGGCCATACAGGGTCACTTGGTGGACATAGGTGTGTGGATGATATTTGACGGTCACATAAGATTGCCTGAGGAGAGAAAGTGTGGACTGTGTTCAGGAACACCAGTGTTGAATGGCTCTGGTGAGGGATGGGGAGCAGGAGGAGAATAGGGTGAGTGGGGAGGAGTCGGGGAGCTGTAAGAGAGAGGATTGGAGGCTGCTGAGCAATGGTCAGACGAAGCCTGACAATTGCTGGGGATGGAGGTGGCAGTGAGGTTGCACTAGGCTGATGAGGTGAAGAAACAGTGATACCTGATACCGAGGAGAATAATTTCTCCAGGAAGTTTGTGTAGAGAGGCACAGAGACAGGGGAGTGGATGGGGGTGTGGGGGGAGGGTCTTCAGTCACAAGAGAGACTCGACAATGACGTGTAGATATCTGTGGAAAGGACTCCTCAGGGGCTAGACCATGGCCCAGATTTGCTAAGCCCAGTCTTTGTCTCCAGGAGCAGGTCCGGCGAGGGGAGAGGTTTCTGCAGCCACTGGCTGGCTGGGAGGCTGCTGAGCTGGGCGCTGCTGGGGCCCGCTTTCTGGCCCTGCAAGCCCAGCTGACTGACTTCTCCAGGGCTTTGGCCCAGCGGCGGCAGCTGCTGGCAGATGCTCAGAGGCTGTTGCATTTTTTCAAGCAGGTAGGTGCGGTGTCCTGTCCCTGGCTCCAGGTGGTCAGTGGGGATGGAGGGGTGGCTTCCTGGCTTCACCACAGCCTGAGCTCTTTCAGGACATCCTGCCTCTTCTCTTTCCTTGTCTTTGGTCTGACCCCAAAATTCAACCACTGGGGGTGTGGCCTGAGCCATCATTCTGTGGGGTTGGGGGAGTGGGTAGAAGAGAAGGCTCAATGGTTTTGGTGGGCTCTGCCTTCAGTGCCTCTCTGGCCTTGGTGTTACAGGCCTCGACATGGGCTGAGGAGGGGCAGAGGGTGTTGGCAGAGCTGGAGCAGGAACGCCCAGGGGTCGTGCTGCAACGGCTGCAGCTGCATTGGACCAAGCACCCTGACTTGCCTCCTGCCCACTTCCGAAAGATGTGGGCTCTGGCCACAGGGTTGGGCTCCGAGGGCATTCGCCAGGAGTGCCGCTGGGCCTGGGCACGATGCCAGGACACCTGGCTGGCCCTGGACCAGAAGCTAGAGGCTGCACTGAAGCCACCACTGACGACGACCACAACGGGCAGCACAGCTAGCCTGTGTGTCAGCCGTTTCCTTGCTGCATCTGCCACCCCTCCCCTGAGGAAGGCATATAGCCTCGATCAGAATCTGGGGCAGAGTCTCAGAGAGCCTGCCCACCACTGCCACCATGCGGCTATTGTGGCTGCTTCGCACGGACCAGACGCTGAAGGTGGTGCCCAGCCAGGGTCATCCCCTACCATGCTTCCACCAGGCAGTTCTGACCCCAGGACCCCCAACAGGTGCAGGCAGAGGGCAGGGCAGGGAGGGCAGTGGCAGGAGAGATGTCTTGAATCTTGACTCCACCTGTCTGGTAGGCTCCAGCTGGTATTGGCAGAGATGGTGGCTACGGAGCGGGAGTATGTCCGAGCTCTTGATTACACCGTGGAGAACTACTTCCCTGAGCTGGATCGCCCCGATGTGCCCCAGGGCCTCCGTGGCCAGCGTGCCCACCTCTTTGGCAACCTGGAGAAGCTGCGGGACTTCCATTGTCATTTCTTCCTGCGTGAGCTGGAGGCCTGTACCCAGCACCCATCCCGGGTAGCCTATGCGTTCCTGCGCCATGTAAGCCCACAGGTCACACAGCCCCTACCTGATTCTGCCACGCTCGATAAAGAGATCTTAGCACATGCCTGGTGCCAGGGTCTGTGCTGGGTATAGCTATGAGCAAGACCAGTAAGGTCCCTGTCCCTGTAGGTAATCACGTTTAGTAGAGGAGACAAAAGTAAAAAAGGTAATTCCAGATGGTAGTTGGGGTCAGGAAGAAAATAATCAGGATATATACATGATCGTGATTTAGTAGTGGGGTTGGGGGGTGGGGCAGTTAGAGGCCTCTTTGAGAGGCTGAGGCCAGGGGAGGGGCTGGACTCAGAGCGTTCTATCCAGAGGAAAGATCAAGTGTAAAGCTTTGGGGCAGGGAAGAGGCTCAGTGGTTAAGGAAAAGACAGGTCAAAGTGGCTGAGTGTAGTGAGCAAGAGAAGGAGTAGTCCAAGGTGAGGGAGCCCAGAGTGGTGGTCCAAGACAATGGGAGGAGCAGAGGCCCTGTGGGCAAGCCCCATTCGGCAAGGTGCCTGTTCTTTCCAGGTTACCCCTCATTCAAAGCCAGGCAGACTGGATCTGCAGGGGAAACCTTCCGGGGAATTGTTTGTTGGCATTTTGGTCCTCTCAGGCTGAGGGTATCTGGCCCCCTTGCACCTGGACTGATCTGTGTGTCCTCACAGAGGTTGCAGCTTGGGATGTACGCACTCTACAGCAAGAATAAACCTCGCTCTGATGCCCTGATGACCAGCTTCGGTCATTCCTTCTTCAAGGTAGATGAGCCTGAGACTAGGGGAGGAGGGGATGGAGGAAGTAAGTACCTTGAAGCCACCTGATGGTCTCCTACCCACCTGCCAGGACAAGCAGCAAGCACTGGGGGACCACCTGGACTTGGCCTCCTACCTGCTGAAGCCCATCCAGCGTATGAGCAAGTATGCATTGCTGCTGCAGGAACTGGCAAGGGCCTGCGGGGGTGCTGTGCAGGAGCTGAGTGCCCTGCGGGCTGCCCAGAGCCTTGTGCGCTTCCAGTTGCGACATGGCAATGACCTGCTAGCTATGGACGCCATCCAGGGCTGTGATGTGAGTCATGCCAGGCCATGGTGGGGAGGTGCGGTGGGTGTGAAGAGAGGGGGCAGGAGAGGCTGGGCACTCACTGGGCCCCACCTTGGCAGGTTAACCTGAAGGAACAGGGTCAGCTGGTGCGACAGGATGAGTTCATGGTACGTGCTGGGCGCCGTAAGTCCTTGCGCCGTGTTTTCCTCTTTGAGGAGCTACTGCTCTTCAGCAAGCCTCGCCGAGGACCCACGGGCATCGACACATACGCCTACAAGCGTTCCTTCAAGGTAGGCCCGCTCGACCCCTCCTATGCTCCCTGCCCTACCCTCACCCCCTCTGGCCTCACCAAGCCCCTCTCCTGGCCACACAGACGGCAGACTTGGGCCTCACTGAGTGCTGTGGGGATAACAACCTGCGGTTTGAGATCTGGTTCCGCCGTCGCAAGGCCAGGGACACCTTTGTGCTGCAGGCTGCCAGCTTGGCCACCAAGCAGGCTTGGACAGCTGACATTTCTCGTCTGCTCTGGAGGCAGGCCATCTACAACAAGGGTGGGTCCCTGCCCCTACTTCATCCAACGGTCCCCTTCCTGGAGAGCTTATGTCCCACAGGGCCCCATACAGGGCCTAGGGACCTGGAAATGCTTGGGAGCAGGGAGGTCCAACAGCAGCAGCCAGTGTAGGAAAGGAACTTCAAAGTCAGGCAGTCCCGCTGTCACTGTCCCCGACTGTGGACACAGTGTTAACCTGAGTATGACACCTGTCCCCAGGATTGTTGGGAGGAGAATATGGCACCAGAAAGGCTCAGTGCACAGGATGGCTAATATGCTGGGTATGGATGTATAGGAAGGAGTTACTCAAGGGGGTGGTAGACACAGAGCCCTAAGGGCAAGGCTGATGTCCAGAGAGGCCCCACCTATGCTCACTCTCCACCCAGAGGTTCGCATGGCTGAGATGGTGTCCATGGGTGTGGGGAACAAGGCCTTGCAGGACATCGACCCCAGCGAGGAAGCTATCAACGACCGCACTGTCAACTACATCCTGAAGTGCCGAGGTAGCAGGCAGGCTACAGGGGAGTGCGGGTGTGGAATGCTGCATGGGAGATAATAATGACCTCTGTCAGCCTGTGCTCCCTTCAGGACCTTGGCCCAGGTGGGCTCTGGCCTGTCCCAACCTGACCCTCTCTCTTACACAGAAGTTCGCTCTCGGGCCTCTGTTGCTGTGGCCCCGTTTGACTATGAGAGCCCCTATCTGGGGGCCTTGAGCTCCCTTCCTGGAGACCCTGCCTCTTGCTCTATGCTGGGGTCCCTCAACCTGCATCTGTACAGAGACCCGGCTCTTCTGGGACTCCGCTGGCCCCTGTATTCTACCAGCTTCCCAGAAGAAGCAGCACTGGAGGCTGAAGCGGAGCTGGGCAGCCAGCTGTCTTTGAGTAGGTCTGGGCTTAGCCAGAAGCAAGAGGGCATTGCTTAGGGTCTGGCCCTCCCCTGTGACAGCTCGCTTTCCTCCTCCCCAGCTCCTGAAGACTCAGAGGTGTCATCCCAGTGCCAATCAGCCAGTGGATCCAGTGGCTCTGACAGCAGCTATATGTCAGGGCGGGCCCTGGGCAGAGGTCTTGAGGACTTGTCCTATGTGAGTATCATTTTGTCCTCTTTCTACCAGCCCCAGCTCAGGCCTATGCCTGTCTTTCCTTTAGGAGGAAATGGGGGTGTGTGGGCCAGGGCCATACCCCAGAGATCCCACCTGGACCTTTAGTTGAGGAAACAGGCAGTCACACCTAGCTTGTCAACCGCAGGTCTGAGCCTGGGCTGGAAGGCAGGCAGCGGATCCAGCAGCTTGTAGCTCCAAGAAATATCACCTCTCTCAGGATCTGCTATGACCAGAACGTGACTGGTACGTGGGCCACCTCCAGCCCACATGCACTGCCCTATTGACTACTCTTTCTGATGTCTGTGCCCATTGGCAGACTGGTAGGGACCTCTCCTAGGGAGCCTGGCAGCAAAGCCTGAATGAATGCCCTGATCCTGAGCCTCTGGCCCCATGCCCCCTTTTATTCCCTTTCCGGCTTCCACCCCAATTACACGTTAGGTTTAGGCTAGAGCAGAGTGTGGGTGTTTCCACGCTGTAGGCTGGTGGGGCACCAAGTTGCTCTGGACAGTGATTGGGCTGCCCCACCTCTCAGGAGGAACATAGTGGGGTTCCCAGCAGTTGCTTCCCAATCCCTGGTCTCAAAGCCAAGCTTCTCAAACTTAGGGGCAAGCCCACCTCTATTGTACCCTTAACTCTTGACTGCCTTGGTTGCCCAAGCCCAGCCCTTCTTTCTTGGGTCAGTTTGGTTATATTGATTCAACACCTTTTGAAGAGCTTTCAGTTAGAGCTGTTCTTTAAAATTATTTCACTTGTTGGTCTTTGGTGTTTCAGAGAGTCCAGGCCCTTGACTCATAAATTACTCTTTATTTATAATAAAAATAGACTGATACACTTTCATATGGGTACATGCATTCTTTAAATGAGCCTTGGCAGATGGGGGTATTGTGAGGGCAGCATCTCTGGTCACCCTAGCTGTCTTGTAAGTACTTGCCCAGGACAGAGTAAGAGACAGACCTAGACAGGCCCCTCTGGATGAGCAGGTCCACGCAGCGGCCATATTTCCTGGCGAAAGGCAGCGTGAGCTAGAAGGAAAGTCCCATCTTACCCCTTACTTCTTGGCTGGTTGCCTATTGTAACTGAGTAGGCGGGGTCCTCCCCATCTGGGCAGGGGTAGGGCAAGGCCTATCGGGGACTTTTGATGTTCTGGGCTCAGTTCTGCCCAAAGGTATCTCACAAGCTTGTGGCTATGAATGGCTACCAGAATGACCAGAGGGTCAAAAATACACGTTTCCAGCCACTGGTTTTCTACTTTTCTAGCTGCATATGCTGACATTACCTTTCTAATCAATAGACTAGCCAGAGGCCTAATAGTAACTGGGCACCAGTGTATTTAGAGTGAAAAGTATTATAATAACGTACTTGATTACAAAAAATACCAGATTAATGAGAAATTAGCTAAATATTTTTCAGCTATAATGTTAAGATGAAAACTTTAAACCCTAAAATTATTTTAAGCAATCAAAAAGCAAAAATAAAAAACCTGGGTTATTCCTTTGATCTCATTGAACATTTTTTTTTTCTGGGTAAAGAATACTTTAAAGCAGCTTATATATGAAAGGAATGTGCGAAAGTGGTGATATGGCTCAGTAGGTGAAGTTGGTATTAGTGGTCAAAAAGGTCTGACTCCCAATAGTTTCTCTGATTTCAACACCCTAAAAGCTTGAGCTCATGTGATGTGCTTCCCAAGCATGGCCGGGGTGTTAGTGATAAAGGCAAAATTGGTACCATTGGAGGAAAACTTACAAAAACCAGTGGCCTGAATACTGCTTTTTGATCACTCTGGACTGATTAATTTCAACCATTGTTTCACCCTCCTTGGGACCAGGGACCAGAGGTCTAGCTGCCTGCCTTGCCTTCTGGGCAGTGCTGGCCTGGCAGCAAGACAGTGTCCATTTGAGGTGTCCACAGGGTCAACTTTCCCAGTGGGGTACAAGCGTCCCTCACCTCCACCCAGCTGTACAGGCGTTCTTGGGTGTGCCGGTCATCCTTGAAGCCGGTGATGGCCAGCAAATCCACCACAAACTGCTTGGGGCTGATGTGCAGGGTCTGCCAGGAAAGCCCCTGGTCAGGCAGGGCTGGAAGCAGTTGCCTGACACACATTTACTTCCTGCCTTTAAGAGTGGGATGCAGAACAGGGGCTTCCCTGGGTCTGCGGGAGCTGCAGGGATCAGAGGCTACTGTTATTCCAAGCTACTTCTCGGTCAAGGCTTGGTCCAGATGCTGCTGCCCTGTCTTCATATCCCTGCTCTTCTTGCCACCCTTGTGCCCCTGACCTATTCCCATTGGCTGGCACCACTTATCATGTGGACAGGGGGACAGACAAAGAGCAAGGTCTGGGGCCTGTCACACATACCCATAGCTGGTTGGCCAGAGAGACCACCTTGGCTGTCATGGCTTTGGGGTCCTTTTGCCTGATAGAATCCAGGATGATGTCAGTCAGGAAACGGTGACATTTTTGTGCATAAAACATCTCTTCCCAGGATAGAGAGAAACTCAGGAAAGTCACCTCTGTGGAGGAGAGAGTGGATATGGCCACATCTGCTGTGGCTAAGGCCTTAGAGCCAGGCTGGAAGGAGAGAGGTGTAAGGCTCCCGAGGGAGAGTGTTTTCCTGAAGCACCCTGTCTAGGGGCTCAGGCACCTCCACAAGGAAGTGTAGGGCCAGGTATGGCTCGAGTCTCACCTCTGGGCTGGGGGCTGGCTGTAGGCGGCGTATGCTTGAGGTTGTCCATCTGTGTAGTGTAGATGATGCTGTCCTCAAAGAACATGCAGGAGCCATCGCTGCCCACCACGGGGGGGTGGGTCACTTTGAGGATGATCCCTGCGCTGTCCACCTCATTGGCCTCAGGCAAAGGCTGCTCAGGGCCAGGGCTCTCTGTGAAAATGACATGGGGTGGGAGTTCTCCTTGAACCACTTCAGAGTCCAAGCGGGGAGGGGACCAGGACAGTGAGTCACCCCAACCTTCCAGCGGCCTCTGCTGCCAGCTTCTCAGAAGTGGCACCCTTTGCTGACAGGAGCGTGTCCTGGCTCGCCTCTCTCCATTGTCCTAGAAGCATTATAAGTCCAATCCTACATTTTAGAACTCCAGGGAACTCCTCTTGAACTAAGACTGGTGTCAACTAGAACTGATAATACCCTAGCTAGGGGACTGGAAATCATGGAAAACTGTAAAATGAGAGGAGCTTTTTGGGTGAGCTGTTGATGCATGTCCACTCTGAAGAGTATGTTTGACAGACCAACTCAGGGCTCATAGGCAGGGCCCAAGAAGGCCCCTCCAAGCAGGACCTAAACCTTTGAAAGGGAAAGCACCAGAACACTGTAGAAAGAATTTGAGGGAGCAAAGGAAACAGCCCAACATGGCAGTTCTCAGCAAACCCCTCTAGGTTGTCTCCACACTGCCCCACCATACACAACACGCCTCTCTCTTTAGCTCCTCCTGTCCATCCCACTTCAGTAATCACTCACTCCACTGCAGTCACACAAGCCAGAAATCTGGCCCCTCTTTGGCCAGATCCTTCCCAACTTCCTCTCCCAACTGCCCAGCCTGTTTGACCTTACACTTGTAATACTTCTACTTCTGCTGCTGCATTTCCTCTACTCCTGGAGCAAGCTTTCTGAATGCACACCTGACTTCTTGCTCCATTGTTTAAAATGCTTCAGTGGCTGCCCACACCCCTTAGGGTCAGAACAATGTACCAGGTCCTGAACTTGGCCCACAAGACCTGTCCTGATGAATTATATCTTCAGCTCTGTTTCCCATCACTTTTCCACATGAAGCCTCGCCTCCAGCTAGACCTGTTTCCCCAAGCACCTGAGACTTCTTCCTTCCCTCTGCTCACTCCTCAGCCCCTAACCTCCTTTGTGCTCCTATTATTTCATAAACACCCTCTTCCTATATGCTTCATGCAGATTCTTAGCCTCACAAGCCATGCCAATGTACTGGTCATCTCTGTATACTGCTTGGCATTGCTGTGAACAGAGGATTCTAGCCCCACTTTGTCACTAATTCACTCTGGTCACGGCCAAGTTTTGCCCTCTGTTGTTGTTGTTTTTTAATGTTTATTTTTGAGAGAGCATGTGCACATGGGCAGGGGAGGGACAGAGAGAAGGGGACAGAGGATCCGAAGAAGGCTCTGTGCCGACAACAGAAAGCCCGATGCAGGACTCATGAATCTTGAGATCATGACCTAAGCTGAGGTCAGATGCTTAACTGATGGAGCCACCCAGGTGCCCCTACCCTCTCTGTTTTATAAGACTTAGGTAAAGGATGAGAGAGGACTCACCTTTCTCCCTTGGCTTCTGCTTGCCCCAATCCTTCAGGGTGACAGCTTTTTTCACAGGGAAATATGGCTTAAAGGTTGGCTCTGGCCCCTTGTCTTTGGCTCCAGCTCCAGCCCCTGCCTGCAGAGCTGGGTCCTTCTCTGAGCCTATGGAATGGCTTTTCCAGGAAGCTGAGGTGCTGGGCTGGGAAGCAGCCTCACTTCCTGAAGGGAGCTGCAGAGTGGCTTCCTCCATGAAGCTGCTCCGGGGGACTGGCATTGGCTGGAATTCCCACTGTTTGCAGTTAACCATGTCCCATTCCCTAACGAGGGAGATGAGTTTTTGCATGGGAGTGACAGGAGGGTCTTTGGTTTCAGGTTTCTGTGTGAGGTTGACTGTACTACATTTCTTCTTGGGAGGACTTTCGGGGTGGGCCCCCCAGTATTTGGGGTTGGCACAAAGACCAGGACAGTGGGAGTATGTGCTGGGATTGCCCGCCCTCTTGGCACCTCGGCAAAGGGACACCTGGATGGTTTGGGAGTACTGCTCAGGTTCTTCCATCTGGCTGGATCTGGTCAGGATCCCCTTGGCCTTATTCCATGAAGTCCTGTCATTGCAGTCTTGGAAGTCCATGGGCATGCAGGCTGTGGTCTGGAGAGGGAGGACACAGCAGCTCTGGGAATGTTGTGCTTCCACATTGAAGCCTCACCCAAGACCTAATAATTTGGACTTCTAAGATTTAATTTATTCATCCAGATCCTGTCTTCCTGTCTTCCACATAGATCAGCCATTTGCTTTGCTCAGCCTGAGTGGGGGTGGTGCCAGCCCAGGGGCCTCACATACTCCAAAGGAGCATATTATCAGCATCCTAGACCACGAGTGGCAAACACATCCCTGTGCCCCTTCAATGTTCAAAAACCAATTACCATGTTAGGAATCCATGTAGGCTCTGCCCTTTAATTTTGCCATGCCCCTCAATAATAGAGCCTACCCCTCAACACTGTGGTGGTTTTTGGAGGACACCACCAAACCAAAGAAGGTTGAGACTTACTTCTTTGGCATCTCTACTGAACTCCAC